AAGGAAGGAAGGAAGGAAGGAAGGAAGAAAAAAGAAAAAGAGCGAGCAAGGGACAGGCATGGTAATGCATGCTTTTAATCCCAGCACTCAGGAGGCAGAGGCAGGCAGATCTGAGTCCAAACCAGCCTGGTTTACAGAGTGAGTTCCAGGACAGCCAGGGCTATGTAGAGAAACCCTGTCTTGAAAAAACAAAAAAGAAAACAAAAAATTAGCTTGTTCAAGTAAAATAGCTAATACCCTGTAGCTAATGATTCAGGCTTCACATGGTTGGCTATTATAAATAGGAGCAAAGTCTACAATGAGCCCTGTGGGACTGGACTGATGTAGGTATCGACCCGCAGTTTTTCTCTAGAAAACAAAACACACACACACACACACACACACACACACACACACACCAAAAAAAAAAAAAAAAACTCATCGTTTCATCTGAGAATAAAAAAAAAAAAAAAAAGCTATTTTATCTGGGTATAAGGGCATATGCTCATAAACTTAGTATTCAGGAGCCTGAAGCAGGAGGTTTACATTTCCAGCACAGCTTGGGCTACCTAAGGACAGGCTAACAGAAACGTCTACATGCACACTTACCCCAGGCTGAGGGGTGATGACACTACAGTACTAGTGAGCACACATATTTAGTTTCTAATATGATTTTCATATAAAGGTTGAATTATAGCTGAGCATAGTGGCTTATGTCTTTAATCCCAGCACTTGAGAGGCAGAAGCGGGATAGATCTCTGAGAGTTCAAGGCCAACCTGGTCTACAAAGAAGATTCCAGGCCAGGTAGGGCTACATAGTCCCACTATGGTAGGGAAAATACAAGGTGAGCTTTTAGCATCCTTTGATTAAAATATAAGAATGTAATAATGGGACATATTAGAGCTAGGCATGGGGACACACATTTTTAATCCCAAAATTTGGGTGGCAGAGCAAGTAGACCTCTATGAATCTGAGATTAGCCTAGTCTACACAGAGTTCCAAACCAGACAAAGACACAATGAGACTGTCTCAAAACCAAACAAATTACAAAGAGCAAGACGAATGTAGAACAAGGATGCAGCTCAGTTGCCAGCATACACAAAGCCCTTGGTTCAAACCCCAGCACTGGTTA